ACACAAGGACATGCACTATGCCCTCAAAGAGCCAGAGTCCTCGTTGGCCTACCTCACCAAACAAAGTGGCAAAGAACTTGATGAGAAGAAGCTCACAGCCCAGGAAAAGGCCATGTTTGACAAAGCCAAGGTCCTGGAGATCACCAACCTGGTCAACTCCAATGCCATCCAGGTCATCACTGACCCTGATGAACTCGCTCGCATTCGGCGAGAGCTGCCACACCGCATCATGCCCAGCCGCTTCATCATCACGAAGAAGGCTGGTGAACTGGGCGAAGACTGGAAGGCTAAAGCCAGATGGATTCTCCTTGGACACAAGGACCCAGACGCCATGACCCAGGAGAGATTTGCACCTACTCCATCTTCCACCACTGTTATGCTTTGCCTCCAGGTCATCAGCAGCATGAACTATGAGCTGTACATCATGGATGTCTCTAGCGCCTTCGGCCAGAGTGACCCGCATGAACGTGCTGAAGGTCCACTCTATGCATCCATGCCACCAACAGGCATTCCACAGCACAAGAGCACAGACTTGATCAGAGTACTCACAGCCGTGTATGGTTTGGTGAACGCCCCTGCAGTTTGGCGAAAGACAGTTCGCAGGCACCTGACCGAGCTCAACTACAAGGAAAGTGTCTTCGACCCTTGCCTTTACTACCTGCCACCCACCGAGGAGGAGCTCAGCAGTGGACCACCACTCCAGGTGGCAGGAGTTGTGCTTTTGGATGTGGATGATTTCTGTCAAGGCGGCAACCAGAGGCACCAAGAGCTGATGAACCAGTTGCGCTCCAAGCTCAAGTTCGGGAAGTGGCGCAACGTCTACAAGAGCTCAGCTGAGTACATTGGCCGCACGCTCACACAGCTCGAGAACTATGAAGTCCAAGTGAGCATGAAGCGGTACATTGAAGAGAAGCTGAAGCCAGTGACCCTTCCTCGAGAACGGCTTCGCGACAAAAGCTCAAAGTTGACGGAGCAGGAGATCACGTGGCTCCGTGGAGTTGGAGGATCCTTGCTTTGGATCGGAAAGGAGGCGAGGCCAGATGTTGGTGCAGCTTGCGCTATGGCCATGAGCTGGAGTTCTGATGGCCCGACAGTCGAACACATCCTCATGGCGAACAAGACCGTCAATGAACTGAAGCAGACGCCTGACGAGGTCCTGCGCATCCTCCCCATCGAGGCCAACAACGGCATTTGGATGACAGTGGCCGATGCCTCAATGGCCAATGTGGAAAATAAGTCGCAGGGAGGCTTCATCGTGGCATTTGCCCATGGCTCCATCCTGGACGGGCAGAAGGCAAGCTTTAGCATAAACAGCTGGAAGTCACACCGGCAGTGAGGCTTTGGCCATGGATGATGCTTTGGCGGAGGTGGAATGGGTGAGAGCTTTGTGGCATGAAGTGTTGGACCCAGCCACATGTGTCATGGACGGCACCAGGCTTGGTTCAGAGCCGTCAGCAATGGTGGTGCGGCTCCCTGAGGAAGAGGCTGAGGATGTCAAGAGCATCCGAATCTGCGACAAGCAGAGTGGCATCCACGTCACGGACGCCAAGGCCCTCTACAACTTGTTGAGCAGGAGATCCGGGAACGCCGGACATGACAGAAGGGCGCAAATCGACGTGGCGGTGATCCGTGTGAGCGCTCGGGCCTTAGGTGTCACCACCTTTTGGGTGCCAGGCAATCTGATGATTGCAGATCCTCTGACAAAGAGGTTAGGAAATAGCACTTTGCTTCGCAAGACCATGAGCGAAGCGGCTTTTGCACTTTGTCGTGCTGCCAGTGAAGGGTGAGGATGGCCATGAAGTCCCCCCTACAAGGATGTGAAACTAAACGCCTGAAACCCTGGCCATCCACACCTGTTGACTTTCCATGACCGTACCGGCCCAAACCTAGTGGCCACTTGAGTCTGCCTTGGAAAAGGCCTTCTTTGCCGTGCGCCATAGGCACTGCGTTTCCGCTGTTCATCAGTACATATACTGTACATGTACCGACTCAAGTGACCCTCCCGTTATCCTCCCCGAAACCATCGCCTGTTACGATAAAAAAACAGCCTGTTCGTAGAGGAAAACCGTCTTCCAAAGGGCCATGCCCCACTTCCATGTTTGTTGGATGGAGGGCATCCCGAGTCACTTCACCCCTGAGTCTTCTTCGTTGACAAGAGACAAATTTGCGAGACCTTGAGGTCGTGTTGCGAGGTGCGACCGTAGACCCTTTGTGAAGCCAGAAAACTGTCAGAAGAGGATAGGAACATTCATCATGTTTCTGTCTGTTCCTGTTATCACTGGAGTTTAGTCCTTCCAGTTTCTATGTCTATGTCTACAGCGTGTGATTCTTGTTTTTTGCTGTGCGAGGGTATACGTACCATAGTATACAAACATGGAATCAATTCAAACAGCCGGGACACTCCGCCCGACGATTCCGGGTGCACTCCGCAGAAGAAAAGCACCGGGACCCTGTTACAGTGAAGGCATACCCTCTGACTCACTAACATGGTTAATGTAGACTGTAGACTCTTGATTCATAAATCCACCCTAATTGGTTTAAACACCTCTTCCAATTGGGGGGTTGATGAATCAAGAGTCAATGGTTACGTGGAACACCACCTTGTGGAGAAGAGTCATCCGCCCATCCACATCACCATGTGGGTTTCCCGCCGGTGACCTGACCCGGTGGCTGGATGGGACCGGTGGCCTTCCCCGGTGCTTCGTTCGGTTGAACGGCGGCCATGTGGATCCACAGGATCTCTTGGATCTCCAGTGGAGAGCTTCAACCGGTCCTGCCAGGTAGATCGGTCCATCTTGAGTTGGGGAAGATTCGAGTGGAGCCATGGCCAGTCATCGGGTTTCCATTCGGCAGTTGAATGGTGAAGCGATGGTTCTTGACATCATGCCAGAGATCACTGGCCGAGAACTTAAGGAGAGAATCAAGGAGTGCCTGCCTTGGGACGATGAGCTCACACGTAAAACAACCCGGGTGGACATCGTGGTGGGGGAGAGCAAATTGCTGACGAACGCTGAGACAGCTGCAGATGCAGGCCTGTCTCCAGAATCAGAAGTGACTGTAATTTTGAGACAAAACACCGTGACATGCTCCCACAAAGATGAATTATTTGCCCAGTGTGGTCAGGAGATTGACTTTGAGTCATTCTATATAGTTCAAATCCCAAGCGGTGCCACTCAAATTGTCCCACATGCCTTTGCATCCTGCAGCTCGTTGGCAAGTGTGACCATCCCCAACTCAGTGACACAGATTGGGAAGGGAGCCTTTGCAGAGTGCAGCTCGTTGGTGCGTGTGACCATTCCTGATTCAGTGGCCCGGATTGAGTACGGGGCCTTTGAAGGATGCAGCTCGTTGGCAAGTGTGACCATCCCCCGCTCAGTGACGCAGATTGGGGCTGGCGCCTTTGCATTCTGCAGCTCGCTGGCAAGTGTGACCATCCCCAACTCAGTGACGCAGATTGGGAATGGAGTCTTTGCAAAATGCAGCTCGCTGGCAAGTGTGACCATTCCCGACTCAGTGACACAGATTGGGAATGGAGCCTTTGCACAGTGCCGCTCGTTGGTGCGTGTGACTATCCCTGATTCAGTGACGCAGATTGGACTTGGAGCCTTTATAGGATGCAGTTCGTTGGCAAGTCTGACCATCCCTGATTCAGTGTCCCAGATTGGGATGGATCCCTTTCTAGGATGCAGTGCTTTGACTTTGGTCGTGCCCGTGACTCGGTGGAAGAAAAGCACCTTCGAGGGCTGCAAACGGATTCTGGCAAAAGAATGTGAATGTCGACAGTGCAACTACCGCTGGTTTCTGAATGGCTGGGTGTGTCCTCGGCAGCGGCGGTCTTCACATCAGTGCCGCCATGGCCGTCACTGAGAGCCTTATTGAAGCTGTGCTTGCTGCTTGCCTACACCATGGATCAGAATGGATATACACTACAGGATGATCGGATAAACCAATAGACCTCATTGCTGGTCAACCTTTTGAGGCCAGTTTGCCAAATAATGCCACTTTCTTTCGATCCCTTGCAGCTACTCAACCGTTTCGCTGACGCGAAAAAGAGCTTGCTTGGTCAGCCTTGGTGGGTTGGGTGCGAGGGTGAAAACACCGATCCCACTATAGTCAAGGGAACCCACTATTTGGTACTATTATATGACGCGAAAACGATGACACTTGATGACACGCACGTTGCAAAGTCAAACAGTTTCCGACTCTTTGAGAAGCGTGTTGCTTTTCACAAATCAAATCAAGGCCGCATCGGCATAGCAACGTGAATGTCCACCTGGTTCTTCAAAGTGACCTTTTGATAACCTGGTTTGAGGTCACTTAAGCCTCCTGGGGGTCACTTAGGAACCTTCAAAAGGTCACTTTGAAGAAGCTGGCAGACATGTTAGTAGTACCGCCTCTTGTGGCCATGGTTGTGCAATGTCAAGACGTCCCTATATATTGTCCTGCCTGTTGTACTTTTGGAGGAGAGCCTCCTAGACAACCGCAAATCGAGGTTGCTGGAAAGATCAACGTATTATATATCCAAGATTCATCAATTTTTCAAGTCTCTCTACAATGACCCTACAATTTGTTGTTTCGTGTGTTCACACACGCACACACACACAAACACCGCCACTGCCCCCTTTTTCCTCGATCAGCACCTACAGGTACAAACTATTGTAAAACTGTTAGTTGATCGCTATGCTTCAACAGCTTCGTTGAAATAACAAACCAATGCGGGCGGACATCACCAGTTGTGGAAATCCTCATCCGCTGTGTTACCCATACCGAGGGTGCTTTCATCCAGGATTCCATGACCGTATAACAAATCACCACATCCATGATAATACCTCTTGGACCAGGCCTAAACTGGTGCACAGGAACTGATTATATAGCCTTTGTTCTTTTTTCGCCAGGCTTCTCCTGAACTTTCGTGGGTTGGGAGGGAGAATCACGGTTTTTGGCATTTGGCCTGGCGTTTCAACATGGTGTTTTTCTAATCCATCCTCGTGCGACCGCAGGGCAGGACATGGAAGTGCAGCCAGTCTGGTCAGCCGTGGAAAAGGGGGCGCGAGGTCCGGTCGGACATGGAGACGCTGCCTGGTCCAGCTTTTCTTCGGGTGGTCCGCTGCACCTGGGGAAGGATGGTCTCCTTCGTGGTGAAGTGCGATCGACTCTGAAACCACGGTAGTGATTTGTAGTGCCTGGAGCACTTCGGGGGAAGTCTTGGTTGCCTGTGTAGGAGAATCTTTACACACTGTGGGAGTACATACATTTTCTTGGCTGAAAGAAAGCTGACAGATTCTCGAGGGACCTGCCATGTGGGATTTCTTCCTTCATCAGGAATCAGGATCGTGTGTTGTTCACCGGCACCATGTGTTGTTCAGGAAATCTTTTGGATTCTTTTGGATTTTTTGACAAGATTCCAAGTTTCTCTTGCCTATGAAGGGACCCATCTACTACCCTGAAGAACTGGACACTGGAACTGGACCCTATGGAAGGCACAAGAAATCCCTCTAAGACCAGTGGCTTTCAGAATCCACAGCGGTGCTGGTCGCTTTGATCCGGGAAAAGGCACCCTGTAGCACTGAGCTGGGACCAGTGGGAGCCGTCCTCCGGCCGAGCCTGCCGAGACACCGGGGCCCGAACCAGAACAGTTCGGTGCTACACCCCGGTGGGTGTAGATGACTTCGATGGAAGATGGATGGTGCTGGTGGTTTCTCCCAATGCTTTCCAACCCAGACCCGCACCGAGACCCGCACCGAGACCCGCACCGAGACCCGCACCGAACTGGGGCCATGCGATCCGCCGAGCTGGGTCAGTCGATCGGCCGCCCCACGAGTGGTTGAAGTGTCGTGGTAGCGAAAGAGGGACAGAGATCCTCTGAACGAAACAAGTCCAAGAAACACTTCATGGTTGCGAACAGCTTGGGAGTCTTGAAAGGGCAGGTTCTTTTTTTGGGGTCTAGTTTAGTTTCGCGGCTAGTGGAGCTGAAGATGGTGATTCTGTGCCATGGACTGGATGGTGAAAAATGGATGGCCGAAGTGTAGGGTGGCCCGAATCCTGGAAATCAACGTGTGGAAGCTCAAACTCACCAGAAAGAACCTATACATACCATACCGAATTCTGGCATGAATCGATTTTGAGCCATCTACACTCAGTAAGCTCTGCTTTTGTCAGACATGAGACGGTTCAGTCCAAGCAACGGCGTTCGGTCCTTTTCAGCTCCGGGTGAGGGAGGCGTGTTGAGGAGGCGTGTTGAGGCGTCATCCCGGTCGTCGGTTTGTTTTGGTCCAAAGCTGGGGAGGGGCCAGTGGCGCCATAGCATTAGCTTTGGCTGCTTTTGGAGGATGAGACCCAACTTCGGGGAAGCACAGCACATCGGGATGAGGATGAGCAGACTGTGACTGCCAGAAGTATCAATACTATCTTTGAGCCAGATAGACCACCGCAATCGTATACAGATCCCATGACTCCAACGAAACGCCGTGTAGCACGAGCGGTCTCAGTTTCACACCGCGGCCTTCCCTATCCTAAGTGACGGATCGAAGTCGGCCACAACGCATGAACCGTTTCCAGCTCACGTCGTCGTTGTTTCGCCATGGGGGACGACGGGCGCTCCCGATGCCGGGCTCTGCGAGGCCCCCGCCGGGCTGGGTGCGAGAGGTTTGGAGATGTTCGGTCCCTTTGCAAGAATGATGAGGGTCCACGGATTCTTTTTTAGCTGGAGGCTATAGGAATATAGTTACCACCAACATGATGGAGGATACCATGATGGGGCCACCTTCTTTAGCTGCGCCACCGTTACTAAAGTTACCAACGTTCTCACCAACGTTCAAGGGGTCGATGCGGACGTGCAAACTGTTTGGGTCTGAAGGGAAAGACGAAGACACCCACGGCACCCCGTGCGACGTCGTTCGGTCGCTGGGGTTGGGAAGGGCCCAAGAGGTCCAGCCTGTGGAGCTTGAGATGGCTTGTATCACTGCCTGTGTTGCAGGCGGAGTTTGGTGAAGGTGGTGAAGGCTTCTTCTTGTAGGTCACTATGGTGAGGCAAAGCATGGACACGGTCGACAGAAAAGAAATAACGTCCGTGCACTCCGGGACACTTGGAGGTCTGCCACGCAGGTGGGGCCTGGTGGCCTGGTGGCCAGGTGTGGAGGTCTTGGATCCCGGGTCATGTGGATCCTGTGAGGTCTTGGATCAAGCCTCCACTGCAGTCAGATTCATCTGGCAGTCGCAGTCCCAAGCGAGTTCTTTTTTACAGTGGCAAATGCACCGGGTGCAACTAGGATGGAACACGTTGCGGGACTGGCAGGAACTGTGGGGTGATCGCCTGGTCTGATTTGTTTCGTTCAGGTTGCGGATCTGTGGGTCGATGATGATTTGTGAGGTTTGGGATCAAGAACTTTAGAGCTCCACCACTGGAGGAATCGGAGAAACATCTCGTTGAGAAGAACGGAGCCATGGCCAGTCATCGGGTTTCATTTCGACGGTTGAATGGTGAATCGATTCTTTTTGACATCATGCCAGAGATCACTGGCCGCGAGCTGAAGGAGAGAATCAAGGAGTGCCTGCCTTGGGATGTGTGGGAGCCAGTTGAGCTGCTTCAACTCACAACCAGTCGTCCCATACCTTTCCTGGCACCGTCCATTTAGGACCCAAAAGAACGTGCTCCACTGGTTCTGACCGCCCTTCAACAGAGGGGACGGGGAAGCCGTCAGAAGTCTCATCCTGGTCGTCGTTCTTTTTAGCCCAAAGTTAGGACGAAGTTAGGAGCCATTGGCACCATAACATTACTGTAGCTTTGGCTGCTTTGGAGGATGAGACCAAAGTTCTTGAAGCACAGGAGGAGGAAGAGGAGGAAGAAGAAGAAGAAGATAGCGTGGCTTTGCCAGAAGGCCAGAAGTATCAGGTATGCAGCGCATGATAGAGTATCAGCCAGATAGACCACCGCAATATAGATCCCATGACTCCAATGAAACTCCTACAAGTCGGGATGGAACTTGATGGAACTCCACATTCAACAGTTCCCTAAGAACGCACATCAACAGTTAGCACACGAGCAGGAGGAAGATATTCGGGACTATCAGCCAGAGAGACCACCGACCGCACTCGTAATACAGATCCCATGACTCCAACGAAACACCGTGTAGCACGAACGGTCTCAGTTTTACATGGCGGCTTTCCCATCCTGTCCTCCGAAGTGACGCATCGAACTCCGCATTTGACACAGCAGAATGCACGCATTCAACAGTTCCCTGCAAGCACGCACGACTTGACCCGTTCAACGCTGAAGCGAGAAGGCGGCTCCTCCGAACTCACGTCGTGGTCTCGCCATGGGGGACGACCGGCACTCCCGATGCCGGGCTCTGCAAGGCCCCCGGCTGGCTTCGCACAAACCCCAGATGGCCGTTTTTCGTTCAACAAGAGGACATGCCCTCAATACCGCTTGTAGAAAGAGATGGCTCAAAAATCTCTTGTATAGGACATCTTAGGAATCCCATGACCAGTGGTGGAATGACATTTCAAAACGTATAGACTATAGACGAATCTTTGGACCTTCAAATCGAAAGGGTTTCGGGATGCTTCGAGATGTTTCGAAGGTCTGTCCCTTTAAGCAAAAAACGAGGATCCACGGATGGATTTATTTGGGGGTGAAGGAGATGAAAACGCAAGAAAACCCCGTGTTGGCTTCTGTGGCGCGTTCCACCCGCCCGCGGGTTCCTCTCAATCGGCCAGGCCGGAACACGCGGCCGGCCAGGCGGGTGCGCCGCCCGGAGCGTGGACGGACGCGGGACGCAGGAGGACGTGGAGCTGACCGGACGATGCAGAGGAGCTGACCGGACACGTGTGGGGCCAGGGGGCCAGGTGTGGGGGTCTTGGATCCTGGGTCATGTGGATCCTGTGAGGTCTTGAGTCTTGGATCAAGCCTCCAGCGGAGTCAGATTCATCTGGGTCGCAGTTCGAAGCGAGTTGTTGAGATTTTTTGCAGCGGCAAATGGCCATGAGGGTTTCATTTCGGCAGTTGAATGGTGAAGCGATGGCTCTTGACATCATGCCAAACATCACCGGCCGAGAACTTAAGGAGAGAATCAAGGCGTGCCAGCCCTGGGACGACGAGCTCACACGCAAAACAACCCGGGTGGACATCGTGGTGGGGGAGAGCAGATTGATGACGAACGCTGAGACAGCTGCAGACGCTGGCCTTTCTCCAGAATCAGAAGTGACTGTAATTTTGAGACAAAACACTGTGACATGCTCCCACAAAGATGAATTATTTGCCCAGTGTGGTCAGGAGATTGACTGTGAGTCATTCTATATAGTTCAAATCCCAAGCAGTGCCACTCAAATTGTCCCACATGCCTTTGCATCCTGCAGCTCGTTGGCAAGTGTGACCATCCCCGAGTCCGTCACCAAGATTGGGGATAGCGCCATTGCAGGATGCAGCTCACTGGCAAGTGTGACCATCCCCAACTCAGTGACACAGATTGGGAATGGA